CTAAAAATTAAATTTTTTTTTGAAAAAGTTGTCACGGAGTAACATATTTGACTGTCATTTTTTGTTACGAACAATGATCCCTTAGAGATAAAGCTCCCTCACGAATTAAAGTAACTCTACCGTGCGCGTTGGTGACACGAATTATGACATCATGACTTTTACTTGCCTCTTTAAATGGTTAAATAAACAATGCTAGTCTATTTTTACGTATTTTTCGAAATTACGTGCGTATTTATTTTTGAGCAATTGCAAAAACTACAGTGTGTGCAATTTTAATTCAATTTGTAGAATTTTTGCAATGTTGGCATGTTTTAATTGTTCAACAAATTAGCTTTTCCTTTATTAGCTCATACCTACAAATAACAATTTTTAAGTTTCTATAAAAAACAAAATTTAAAAATTGTAAACTTCAATTTTTCATGTCAAATTGAGAAGTTCAGTTTTTGCAAATTTTTGCAAATTTTTGCAATAAGAAAAATATGTTTGTATCAATTAAACTGATAAATTTGTGAGTTTAAAGAAACGAAGAAATTTGGATTTGCGAAATTTTTCAGATTTGTCAATTTGCAAAAAATTTGCAAATCTTTGGAAAATTTTTCATATTCGTGATTGTTTGAAATTACGCGGACAGGTACAAATATATTTATTAAGTTTCTATAAAGTTCATTTATCATTGAAAGGCTACTGGCTGTGTTAAAACATTTGGGCAAATGCATTTTTGGGTGCAGCTCTCGCCAAATATTTTCGCGAAAACGCGATTTTGCACCGCATGTCTATGCAAAGTTTTAGTTTCACAAATTATCTGCGATTAAGGCTATTTGAAGGAAATCGAGAGGTGACAGTACGTAAGGTTCCCTTGTAAGCTTAATTTTCATATGTGGTCATTTTCATTTCATTTTTTCAAGAAATTCACCGCGAGTTCAACGACGATAATATTTTTGACATTATGATCGTGAGGACGAGGTCATATATGGAGAAACGTTAAAGTAAACTGGAATCGCTCTGACGCTACAATTTATATCGTTTGGATTCGTTGGATTTCGCATTCTGCATACATAATCTGGTCAATTTATTCAACTGGGAATCAGTACTTTATGCATAATTTACAATGCAAAGTGCTAAAAAATATAAATAATACACAGATTGTTTACACCTTTCTTGCGAAATCCTTCCCGGTACCTAAATAGATATGTACATTTAATTCACCTCTCTTTGTCAACCATGATGTTAGGGTTAATTAATCTTATAATTACAGAGTTTATTTGGGATTAGACTTTGCTACCAAACTGTAAAATGCAGACCTCGAATTGTAAGTAAAGTATATAATTTCAGGTTTGTAGCATAAACATTACGTCATTTAGCCACTTGTAGCATAAGTTTGCAAATCCCTGGATTTTTTTTTGAATAGTTGGATTATTGGCAAATCAGCAATTAGCGTGTATAACGTTAACGCTAAATAATTGTATTTGTGTTGCAGAATCCAAGCGCATGCACCTATTCAATTGATACTACAAAGCTATTTATTATTTACACAGGATTATGCAAACACAAAAGAGGTTAGCATAGGTTAGTCGTGCATTCAAAGCCAATTTCAGTTTAATTGAAGTGGTATTAGGCAAAATCTGAGTGCAATAAAATATGTACGATTAGTAATTGATACTCATAAAAGCTTAATCCCGTTAAGATTAGCGTTATCAAATAAATTAATATGTCAGGGTTACGGAATTCAGGTTAACACGTGTAACAAAGTAAGTAGTCTTTACTGGCAAATAGATAAATATATATGTAGCTCTTGGACAAGTACATATTTAAGATGAGTGATTACACAAAACGTACTTGCAATACTGTAAAGTTCTAGGCCATTTAAAATGAAAGGTTAAAATTGAAATGATTAACACAAACCTACATATTTAAGTAAGGACATAGCGAAAAGTGGAAAAAATCTTATGCTTCGCATATTTTGGTACGTTTAAAAACTTAAAAATCTTTAAGTATGTATACATAAAGAATGTCCACTAACGTCGCGGACTGATGCAATAAAATGATCAGAACTTTATACACAGTTAATGCAATTTCAAAAAAATTGCATATGTTTAGAACAAAAGGGTTTGGATTGCCATACAGTTAAAATTTTAATGATTCAATTCCGCTATTTGCTACAGATTGCATTTTCTTCTTCAGATTTCGCGTCAAATTCCGCCCATAGACTGCACCTACTTTCAAGCTGATTTTCTTCCATCTGTTCTTAAATTTTCATAAGGTGTCTGGCGTTTCTGAAAGCTTAACTTAAAGACTTTTACATACATACATATTTATATATAAATATGCATGTATATAAGCATACATAAATGTGTGTACCTAGTCTAACCATAAGAAGTGATAGTAGAGCGTAGTATTTGACCCGGTCAACATAAAATTAAAATGTAAGTTGCAGTTTGTACCTGCATTCAGTGGCTATCATTGTTGTTAACCTCATTTGCCTGACTTCACTAGGTCAAAAGCTAGAGGAGCTTTACCACACGCGCGCGACAATAAGTTTTCACTTTTTACGCGAGACAAAAAATTCACAATGTTAGATATAGGGTAGAAATTCAAGGACAACTACGATCTGGTTGCCCAACCCATTAAATTAACCCTCGGGACTGTGACTATTTATGACATAAAAGTTCCGGTTGTCCAAGGTCAAGGAGGAGTACAGTGATGTCCGAAGCTTTGAACGCCAGACTAGCATAAAATCTCTGTCTGACGCCGAAGACTTTGGCCATACAAATGACCTTTCAACTTTAGAAATGAGATGAGCACGGAAAATTATCCTAAGATGGAGGCCTTTTTATAGTAGAAAGCATCACGCGCTACAGATTTCCTAGACATAAGCTAAGGTCATAAATCGACCTCCCTCTCCCAGCGGTACGGTAAAAAAACAAACAAAATTTTCTATTTACCGATGGGAATTTCTTTAAGACGGAACCATATTTCCACAAAAAAAGAAGCAGAATTTATGCTAAATATTCTTAGGGTTAGTTGATTACGAAAAGGAGGTCGAATGTTATCTTATCGGGCTGCATTCATTGTTTTGGCGGGAATCGGCGGAATTGGGGCAAAAACCGTCCAATTTCCTCGATTATGGAGAGGAGATAGTTTTAAAATATACTTGATTGACGTCAGATGGAAGATGGAAACACCCCTCGACCAGTCCATATTGGGTGGAAGGCCACCGACCTTTGTGCAGGGCCCCACAGCAAAAATGCAGAGAAATTCGTGAAACCTGGCTGACGAAATCTATTTCTGACTTCATTTCCGATTTAAGTTTGTCCTTGGTATTTTCGAACCGAAATTGATTTCACTGCCAAATCATGATTAAAGTCGAGGAAAAGGTCTGTTTCTGAGCCCCATCGAAGTGTCAGGGTCACAAAAAAATTTCTGACCCGGCAATGATGCACTTTTTCAATAAATTTCGTGCGTATTTTTGATAGAGGCTTCTCCTCTGGTAACCAATTTTTCATGGTCACAGGAAGAATATATTTTCAAGTCTGATACATGTTTTCTACGTGAAATTTAACTGGCTTTTCAATGGAATAAAAAGAAATTTGAAATTCCTTAAACTAACCTAAAATAGTCGTCTACTCTACTATCACTTTTTAAGTTTAGACTAGGTATGTGCATACACTCACAGAAAAAACGACACCGAATTGACACCATGCCGGTGTCTATATATGACTCTACCGGTTTGGTGTCAAATCGACATAACGTGGTGTCAATTATGTTGCACCACCGTCGCGGTGTCGACCCAACATACCGTTGTAACAATGCCAACACCGCCAACGGATTAGAGGTTGTGCTCAGTTATGTTGCTTTGAGACTACTAGGTAACGATATATGTGCATTTTAATATATGTATGTCACCAGCCGGTGGCAAATCGTCCCCGGATTGTGACAACTGAAATATAACTTTTAGCAACAAATATTTTATTTTACATTTAAAAATATTAAGCACTTAAAAAAATTAATCACGTATTTCAAACATATTCACAAGTAACAAGTTATTGTACTCGCACAAAATTAAATAATATTTTTTTTCTCCATACCGTATGTACTTTTATAGATAAAAGATTACATTTATCTAACACGGTGATCTAAAATATGCGTAAATCTTAAAATTCAATGAGCTTGGCAACAAGAGATTTAATCATAATTAAATAGGCTGTCGGGTGGACAAATCCTTACTCGTCGGTTCCCTCGTTGGGTTCAGCGTTGAGTTTTAGCTTGCTGGAAACAATAAGTTTTCAAAATAAAAATACACACAGTAAAATAATGTTAATTAAATGAGGGAAAATTAATATATGTTACAGATTTTAACTCACCTAAAGTCAAGAAAGTGGTAGTAGTTCTTAAACGTTTTAAAAAAACAATTTTTTCGAAATTAATTGAACACACCAATTAATTTATCCACTTTGTTGATGTTTTTGTGGAGAAGAAGGACAATGGCCGCCAAGCAGAACCGAGCACACAGGAAAAAACTGACACAATTTTGTGTTAAGCCCAAGTCTTGCTTACTGCGGTAACATCGCATCGTGTCAATTCGACACCATTGGCCGGAATATCGCTGAAACCGGTAACGTGTCAACGCGTTTTTTTCGCTCGGTGTCACTTTTACACAACGGTTTGACACTATTTAGTGGAGTTGAGGTTGACACCGAGGGTTGGTGTCAACAGAATTCTTGGTTTTGTTACCAAGTTGCTAAGAGTGTACTTCATGAGTACACTCTAAATAAAAATGAGTAAAATTGACCCAACATTGGTCAAATTTCACACAAGTTTGGACAAAATTTGCAAAACGTTGGACAAATTTTACCTTTTGGTTATGTCATCCTCATTTCTGCCCAACCTTGTGTAAATTTTACTCATTTTTACTGTATTGTGCCATAAACGGACGGACAGATTTCCGGGTAGTTCACATAAAGTAGATTCTACTAAACACGGGTATAAAGTCAGACGATTGAATGTCCAGTATTACATTCTTACTTGTGCGGTCTTACCATCTACACCGAAAATGTTGTGCATATTTTTTCATTGTAGGACTGGTCCTTCAATTGACCCATGGCCATGGTATGTAAGCTGGCTTAAATTTTCCGAAATAAAAATATAATTGCTCAGTATAAGACTAATTAAGGTTAGGAATATATCGACATATGTAAATTAAGGGGACAGTACACATAATTAAAATTATTAAATTAGTAATTATTTAGAATTAGCAAATAACTAGCCTGTCTTAATTTTTGATTAAGTTAGGTTAGCACAAAAATTTTCTCTTATTGGGCAATACTTAACGAATTAGTAACTGGTTTACTAACTTATTTTAGCACTGGCCACGCAATCCGGAGCAGAGCAACAGTTGAATGATATCAGCCCGCTAATTGTTGGCGGGACTGATGCCGCCGACGGAGAGTTCCCCTACATGGTTTCCATTCGTTTGGGGAGCATCCATTTTTGTGGTGGGACCCTCATTTCTGCCTGGACTGTTCTAACTTCCGCGTAAAACAGGATAAATGTTTCTTATGGAATTAAGTGTGATGAATCATGTTTTTAAAATTTTTAGTTGGTGTTTGGAAGGAAGAACTGCAGATTGGGTGACAGTACTTGCCGGATCAAATTCGATCACCACTGGTGGTGTTGTGAGACCAGCTTCGGAATTTGTTATTCACATTGGATGGAATAACGTAACTAGGGTCAATGACATCGCACTAATTAAGGTGTTTCTTCTATACTGAGCTACACTTACGTAATTATTTAGTGAGCAGCATTCCCGGGATACAGGTTGGAATTGTGTCGTACTGGACACCCAATGAATGTGCCCTAGGTACCCCGATGCAGAACCCATTGCTTATTATTTGCATGCTTATTTAGTTTATGAGCTAGAAATAATTTTTTGTCTTTGGACCTTCATTCAGGGCAACCAGTGGTTAATATTCGACTAACGGAATATCGATTATGGATTCTGGCTAATATTTTGCAGTAAGACGGTCGCATTGTTTAACTATGTAAATATGTGCAGGATTGAAGGACTCTTGTTATTGTCCGATACAAAATTTTATTTTAAACTTTTCGAACTTCTGAAGTAGTTCGTAAGCACTTCGTATGGAAAGTATTTGTAAATTTGGATTACATTTTGTTGAGGTGTTCATATCCTTCTACACAAATAAATTGGCGTACTGTACAAGCAATCATTATGGTGCAAATAAACTTCGTTAATATGCAAAGATGTCACCAAATTCAATTTCTCTGAGAAAAAATAAGAAATCATCTAAGAATAAGAATAAAAATAAGAAATCTCACCTTGCGTACATATGTAGCATCGAGAGAAATGGACGTGTATTTTTAACCAACAATAGAAAAAAAGTCTGACCAAAAAGTTTGATCACATTTCATCATTTTATACCTAATAGGTATGTATACGTAACTAATGAAAATTATTGAAAAATCGCTTAAAAATCCCCATTTCTTCCTTTTTGTACGCCGGAAGGTGGTTGAATACAGAAACTTGCATACACATGTACCTACATATGTACACATCACTTACTTACTGTGGATGAAGTTCTAACCCTGCAGACTTATTACACCGCTTTGTAGCATTAATTTCACGACGTCACCGGTCAAAAAAATTTTTTCCTCCAAACTGGTCCAAAATAAAAGTCTAGCATGGGAATAGTATAGAAAAATTATTTTTAGCGTTCTATGACCCCTGGGTCATGAATTAAGGGCCCCTGAAGGGTCAAATAGCGTTCCCTGATAACCCCATGCAAATGGGGTATCAAATTAATCCCCTGGACCAGGGGAACCAGAAAAATATTTTTATAAATTTTTATGACCCTTGAGTCGTGAACTAGGAGCCCTTGAAGGGTTAAATATCATTCCCTCACAACTAAAGGCAAGTGGGGTATCAAATTAATCCCCTGGACAAGGGGAACCCAAAAAATATTTTTCTGGATTTTTTTGACCCTCAGGTCAAGAGTTAAGGGCCCCGAAGGGTCAAAATAGTAACCATGGTAACCCCATGCAAGTGGGGTATCAAATTAATCCCCTGGCAAAGGGCAAGCATAAAAATATTTTCCTGAATTTTTTGACCTATAGGTCAAGAGTTAAGGGTCCCTGAAGGGTCAACATAGTAACCATGGTAACTAAGGTGAATGGGGTATCAAATTAATCCCCTGGACCAGGGGAATCAGGAAAATATTTTTATGCTTGCCCTTTGCCAGGGGATTAATTTGATACCCCACTTGCATGGGGTTACCATGGTTACTATTTTGACCCTTCGGGGCCCTTAACTCTTGACCTGAGGGTCAAAAAAATCCAGAAAAATATTTTTTGGGTTCCCCTTGTCCAGGGGATTAATTTGATACCCCACTTGCCTTTAGTTGTGAGGGAATGATATTTAACCCTTCAAGGGCTCCTAGTTCACGACTCAAGGGTCATAAAAATTTATAAAAATATTTTTCTGGTTCCCCTGGTCCAGGGGATTAATTTGATACCCCATTTGCATGGGGTTATCAGGGAACGCTATTTGACCCTTCAGGGGCCCTTAATTCATGACCCAGGGGTCATAGAACGCTAAAAATAATTTTTCTATACTATTCCCATGCTAGACTTTTATTTTGGACCAGTTTGGAGGAAAAAATTTTTTTGACCGGTGACGTCGTGAAATTAATGCTACAAAGCGGTGTAATAAGTCTGCAGGGTTAGAACTTCATCCACAGTATGTATGTATGTAAATATTTATGTGGGCAGGAGTAAAATGTCCTTGAATCCGCATGACATGAATTCAGCTCACAATGGAGATCTCCCAGCGTATGCTCTCAAGGGAACAAATCGAGGTGTCCAACGAGTTAAGGGTCGACACCTGTACCAAAATGACCACAGTACATTACTTATTCAACAAACTGAATGAATTTCCGTGTAAAATTCATTTTTCGTCACGTTGTGACGATATTTGTGACGAGCGCAAGACCATCGGTTTGCCTCCATTGCATTTCCAGACCATTGATTTTCATCGCATTTTTTCACAAGCTTGCATCATAATATGGTGGAAAATGAAAAAGGAGAATGAAAATTGAATGAAAATTAACAAGAAAATCCGACAGGCTTTATTACAAAAATTATTCATTTCAGGTGATAATGGAGGATAGATGAGTATAGCATAAACCATAAGCGGCGCTTACGGTTTCCTAGATATATATATATATATGTACGTGTGTGTCCAGTTCCCCGAAAATTAACCAAATAGGTAGTTAAGGGTGTAGGTACACAATTTTACTTTTACTTCAAACATGTCCAAGTATCCATTCATGTGTCTCATGAATCGCTTATCCTCAAGTTAAACGAAAACATTTATCGCATTCATATTAAAAATTATAACTTTAGTTAGCCAGCCATGTATGTAAGTACAGGACGTATTTATTTATGCCGTTTAAAAACTCGAGCAAACTTTATTAGCGATTGCAAACAATATCACGTTCAAAATGTATGATTTACTGTTTTGTACGTATCAATTATGTACACCCACGCGTCACACGTGCAAAAAATGGATATAGTGTAAGTCCTCATCGTCTAGAAAGACATTTACATAATGGTGTGCTTATGTTTACGTAGTACGGGCTCCCTGGGATATTAGGGAATTGACGAAATACTTATTAAAATTAGTCAAGGGATTGGCGATTGCCGAAATTAGGAATTTAGCAGAATGCTACGACACAAACTTACTAACGACTTCCCAACAGGATTATTAACATTTATATTTACTCTAATTTGTCTATTTAATATTGACGCTGAAAGCAGCTTCGTTGAACATGTTATATCTCCAGGGAAGATTGAAATTAGTGATTACTTGACGCCGTTTGAAGGATGCACAAACATTATCTTCATTCCAAAAAATCCTATAGACCTAAAGTTGGACAAAGCGCCAATTATCCTGCTTAAGACAACTATTCAAGAAGAACAAATTGACAAACGATTTTCTCTAGAGCGAAGACGAAATGTTATACAACATTGCTGGGCATCCTTCGGAATACTACCTAACCCTAACAATCTTAGTAAATATATGAACTGGAGACATCGATACATTAAAAAAACTTCTTTTGGAATACAATACTTTGTCATAGTTACAAACTTCAAGTCTACCTTTCAGAAATTTATTGAAACATTAGGAGCTGCATCGCACCGTTATATTCTGCGCGAAATTATAATCGTCGAAGTGGTACTAGACACAGAGAGGATAATACTTCCTGTACTTGAGAATAATGATAAAGATGGCATTGTTTTATACTATCACAATATGTACCATCATGATGGAATAATCCTGAAGGGACAAAAGTCAAAATGGTGGTATAAAATAACGTGCTCAATCCCCGCTGGGCAAAACTGCTTCAAGAAGTTGCAAGCTATTGGTGATACTGTGTCAAACCTTAACAAGTACTTTTGGAACAGAAGGACAAATACGGAGAGAATGTATAACCGTCTTGATTCAAATGCTAACCCAATTAAAAGGTGGTACAGTGTATCTGAGAAATTTATTCCGTCAAATTTAATCTCATTGGTCGAATTTTGGCTGTTAAATGAACACATTGAATACGTCAAATTAAATATTACACCTTTTTACAACCTCCCTGTGCTGAAAAAATATGCATCAGCACACATCAGACCATTAGAATTTATAATGCAGAAAGTTCAAACTGCAAGTTTTCTGTCGTGCTACAACGTTAAGCAGGAGTCGTTTATTTTGAGCGCGTTAAATAGTCCGTTTGATGTTGAATCATGGATCCTCATTCAGTTGGGTATCTGGGTTATGATAATAAGTTTAACCCTGTTGCCAAGGGTTTTAAGTTCCGACGGGGTAATGGTTGTGGTCGGAATACTACTTGAGAATTCGGTCTTGAATCAGTCAGAAAAATTTACGACTAGATTTCCCAAGAGATCTTCCAAGTACGGGATACATCTATTAATTGCGGCATGGGTACTCCTGGCGGGAACAACACTAACGAACTGGTATAAAGCTTTATTCACAATGGAGCTGGTTACTCCTCCTACCTACGCTCCTCCATGGGAGACAACTTTGGATATTGAAGGGATTCAAGTACTAATGCCTTATAACCTTCTCGACATGACTGGAATGGAAACAGCTATAGACCGTTACATGCGTTTCTATATTTCCATAAGCGAAATATTTTTTCCTTACAATTATGAAACAAAGTAAGTTTTTCCTCACGTTTGTCGCTTGAACAGCATTGATGATGCTCATGCACATCTCTTGTGCTGACCTGTTGTGTTAACTATTACACTGATTACATATATTTATATAATTAAAGGACTACATTGATTGTTGCGTTTACATATTTCTAGAAAGTATCAGGAGATGAAAACCTCACATAATGGTTTCAAGCGAATGGCAAGCCACATAGAAAAAACAATTCCGCTACTAAATGTTCGAATGTCCACCCAAGACAATGGAAGCATAGATGCATTCTATAAACGGTTGGAATTGATATCCTACAATGAAGTCCTCCCAGTTTCTCCGTACAAACCAATCCACTACAAAGAAGTAGAACGGTTCGTAAACACATTATCTACCTGTGAGAAAACGGCGTTCATTGACACTAAGGAAAACATTGCATCGTTACTACCATTCGTAAATGATAATGCGGACAAAAGAAAATATTTCGCGGGAAAAGAGCCTTTCTTTACTGTAGTTCGAGGCTGGGATATATTCCCAATTCGTGCAAATTACGTCCAGAAGCGGCTCAAAGTCATGATTCACTCAGGGATTTATGGGCATTGGGAGGCTTGGTTTCGATTTGCTAAGCCAAATAAATTATTTCATCACTATGCAAATTGGACATATCCAAAATTCGATGCCGTGTCACAGCTGAACTATAACTCCAAGATTTTGTCAGGATTTTATATTTCTGGTATTTGCATAGTTGCTTGCCTTTTTTGTTTAACTGCAGAAATATTAGTGCGAATGTTCAAATAATCCACGTTTGTTCACAACCTTGAATTGATTAAGCAGTAAATCCAGTAAATCTTACATAACCTTTTGTACATACACACGATACTTTTACCATTTTTGGTGTTTTCCCATGTACCTTGATCATATCTGTATAAACATATTCACAGTATTCCATTTTACTGTGGATGCAAAGCATGCATGTAAATATTTGAGTTGTTACGGGGA